CAATATCCAATGATTAAATACTCTCATCCAAAAAAAAAAAGCATCTCTGGAGGTATAATTTAAGGGAAAATCCTTTTCTTCCTTTCCATTAGTGTAACATATGACAATCTTGACATATGAGAATATTGACATGTAGATTGTTTCTGGCACGTTAGAATCCTGTTTTCGAGTTGTAATGTAGGATGAGGTCATTCATCTTGAAATTTCTTAATGATAATTTCCCACTATGGTATCTCCAATCTTAGGTGGTTATTGGCATCTACAGTTGGTTTTTACATATAAATGCCATATTGCTTATGTATATCCTATGAGATAAAGCAAAAGAATACAGCTGATAAAGTCAAAATTGTGCACCTCCTTGGGCCTTAAACATGCTTCCTATTTTTGAATTGGGACTTAGGAGCTATTCATAGATATCTCGAGAATAGCATTTGCAAGGTTAAATTTAAAAATACTATTGGCTTCTTTTGAACTCTGGAGTCTAGGAAGTTGATATGGACCATTGCTGACTTTTAGGGTATTAGTTAGTAACTTGGAATGGTTTTGCCTTGTATTTTCCTTCATAAAATTATAATGTTTCAATAGCCATTCATGCATGGCCAAACACGACTATCATTTAATATTCTTACATCTAGGATGACCACGATTTGGCACATAGAACACAGTTAGGGTATTTTATCACTGTTACTTATGCTTTCCTTCTCTCTCTCTCTAACATCTATAGCATTGTCCTAATGATATCCATTCTGAAAATTTTTGTCCATAGGTTTTGCAAAAGGCTTTAGAAGTCTGGGATTTGCAAGTTATTCCCCTTGACTGCCCAGTTGCTGAACCTGCCCAAATTGACCCTGAGCTGGAAAATGCATTCATTTGTCATTTGCATGACCATTGGTTTTGTATCAGGAAAGTCAATGGAGAGTGGTATAATTTTGACAGTCTTTATGCAGCACCACAGCACTTCTCAAAGTTTTATCTCTCAGCCTATCTGGACTCGCTAAAAGGATCCGGCTGGAGCATATTCCTGGTGAGGGGAAACTTTCCAAAAGAGTGCCCCATATCTTCCTCTGAAGCTTCTAATCGTTATGGGCAGTGGCTGTCCCCTGAGGATGCTGAGAGGATAACTAAATCATGCAACTTAACAGAGACTCAGAGAAACGATATTGATCAACTGCCTCCTGAGCCGGTGTTTTCATTGGATGGGACAGACGTGCAATTTTCAGATATAGAAGATGAGGACTTGAAGGCTGCAATTGCTGCCAGTCTAATGGATTCTTCCCCAGCCACAGCCAGTGTTGAGGCTAGCACTTCTAAAACCGAAAATAAAGATAGCCAGGAAAAAACTGCATAAGAAGAAATAGGTTCTTTTTGTTTTTATATTTACTGGTCAAGTGACAATGATTCATGTCAGGTTTTTAGATGGTTTGAACAAACATCTTTTGGCGTGAGGTTGTTGCATTGTGCAGTATATACATTCTTTACACATTTTCGAGTTGAAATTTAACATTGTGAAAGGCACTTTTCTGAGATATATATCCTCCTAGTTATGCTTATATATGATCAAAGCTTCAGGGTTTTAGCCACAGTTCTTTCTAGTTTCTCTTGTGGCATATTTGTTTGGTTTCAATTTCCATCTGTGCCTTGCCAACACATCACATAACACGCACAGACAAAAGCCAAACCGAGGTCAGGGAAGTTGCTATTTTTCTGTTATAAGGGATGTGATGATGACCTTTGTTTTTCTCACCATTGCCATGGCCGTAAAACATGATGTAAAGGATCCACTTAGCCAACTACAGCACAAGAAAACAATCTTGCTGAATGCCCCAAACTACCCTTCAATCCCGGACAGCATTAAAATATTGTACTTTGTTCTAGTTCATTTACTTTGTTACACTAGGACAACCTCGTCAAAACGACAGGAGTAACCTTAAAAATGTTCCAACCCCGTAGAAAACAAGACGCGTGAGCATCTGCTGAGCAGTCATTGAAAGGAATGATTTCACAATAGTAATTTAACTAATACTAGATGTTGCTTTATGCTATTATTTACTATTTTCTTTGTTTAATCTTGGTAAATTTGAAAAAATAAAATAAAAGAGAAGAAAAAGTTGGAAAACGTATGAGTGGAATGACACTTTAAAGCTGGACTCTTGTGACCACCAACCTTGTCTTTCATCAGCCATCCCTATATAATTCAAAGGACATTGGTAAAAGGTTAAGAAACCTGTTACTTTTTCTCTTCATTTTTTTTCCTCTGATGATCATCTCAAAACCATCTAATTTTTGGGTTTTAAAGATCTGATTTACTTCGAGTTTCTTATAAATGGGTTCTTCTAATCGATTGTTTAACAGACAGAGAACTGTTCATGAGATCCTTGGAGGAGGTTTTGGTAAAGTATCTCACTTTTTCAGTTTTGGGTTTTTTTCTTTTGAATTCGTTTTGATCTAGTGTTGAACTTGTTTGAATCCCCATAGAATTTCCCATTGGGTTGGGTTAGTAGGTTTTTTCAATGTGAAATGGATCTTCCTTGATACTTTCTGTAACTTCAGTTAACATAGCTTTAGGATCAAAGCTGTTGCTTTATGGTATAGCTGTGCAGGTGAATTTTTCTTTACTTCAGTGGCAATCTTTGATCCACTGCCATTAATCAGTTGGTTTAAGAGTTTATGCACACCATAAAGATTGACAATTGCTTGTTTTTTTTGCCTTGAACAGTTGCAGATGTGATGTTGTGGAGGCGAGGGAACTTGACTTTGGGGATATTGTTGGTCACTCTGGCTGCTTGGGTGGTGTTTGAGAAATCTGGTTACACTCTGTTATCACTTGTCTCTAGCGTTCTCCTCCTCCTCAGTGTCATTCTTTTCCTCTGGGCCAAATCTGCTGCAATCCTTAACCGGTAATTAATGCAGTTGTGCTACTCAAAACTCAGACCTGATAAGATGCTATTAGTGCCGTACCAAACCTGTCTGATTTAATTGTTTGCACATTTCATCACATTATGAGACATTGTTGGTCTATATTTGATGAAATATTACACGGATAATGTTCACATTTGGTAGTATTAGAATAAAATGATGTATGTTCCATCGTCCAGATTGATATGACTTTCCCCATTTTTTGTCAATTAGAAACTAGCAACTGAATTCTACTTATTGCTGTCTTAAATTAGACCTGCTCCACCTCTTCCAGAATTGTATCTATCAGAAGAAATGGTAAATGAAGTGGGAGCTTTCATCCGAGCCCATGTAAATGATTTTCTGTCAACTTCTCAAGATATTGCAATGGGTAGAGATGCAAGGTTGTTTGTCAAGGTTGCTGCATACTTGTTGCTGATTTCTGTCATCGGTGGCTTGACTGATTTCCTTACTTTGGGTTACACCAGTAAGTTCTAATGCCACTTTCTTGTTGTTGTTAATATCATCATTTTCACTATCATCATCATTATCATTTACAAGCTAGGGGCAGGGAGAACTGAGGACCTTACTGAGTTCTGTTTCATAATGAGTATTAAGAACTTCATAAGCCCAAGCTTTGTTTCAGTTCAGTGGTCTAAATTGTAGAGATCTTTTCGACTATCTCAATCTTGAATTCCAACAATGTAACTCTGTCTATCCACTTTCCTTGTGGTGGCAGGCCTTGTTGTTGTTCTCACAGTTCCAGCACTCTACGAGAGATACGAAAACTATATTGATTCATATGCCATAACCGGGTTCAGAAAAATGCAGCAGTTGTACGTGAAATTCGACGTGAAGTTTGTTAACAGAATTCGAAAATGGATTCTGGAGAGGCAGAAACTAAGCTGATTGATTTCCCATTGTTTCTTCTTCGGTTTTCTTTCCTGCCTTCTGTAGAATATGTTTTTCTTTTTTTCTGCTTGGAAGTGCCAACCAGTAGGCACAAAAGTTTCTTGTTGAGCATTGGAGGGTGTGGAGGAATGTAATTTCCCTTTCTGAGATGATTTTTTTTTACTCTGAATCATTGTTTTCCGGCGTGTTAGTACATAGGTTTCGACCAGAGAAATGTTACCGGAGCTACTAAATCAATGACATCTATCTTAGTGAAATGAATGGCTGATGAACTTTTGTGCAAGCAAATATGTATATATTAGCTGATGCAAAATCCAGTGGCATAGCAACTGACTTCTTTGTTATACCATACTTATGATAACAGTTGCTTGAAATGTATTGCACAAGATTGAATTCAAAAAACGAGCTCAAATGTGACCAATTTCGTCCCAAGAAACAGACGTTAGTGATAGACCCTTCTATCACATGAGGCACAACAATCATCACAGCTCGATGGTGCACCAGCCGGGAATCGAACCCGGGTCTGTACCGTGGCAGGGTACTATTCTACCACTAGACCACTGGTGCCCGTTGGTTTGTAGCTTCCAACTTTTTTACTTGGTCACAGACATGACAACAGGTAATGAATCCAACTCCCAAATGTTCGAATCCGATTTGACTATCTACCCAAAATAATGGTTTAATCTATTTAACATCAGAAGTTTAAGTAAGAAACTATAATGTTTTTGTACCAGGAAAAAGATTACATTTTTCATTTAAGCTATAGTATGGAAGTTAAATAAAGAATCATTGAAAATATATTAAAATCTTTAATTTATAATAAACTAATCTATATAATTTTTATTTAAAAGGTCAACTGGGTTTGAATTTTTTTATCATAAAAAAAAATCAATCAACAAAAATATCAAGGATTTTGGTTCTTAACCTATCAATGAAGAAACAATGGTAATATCTCGTAATCTTGATAATTCTAATTTATCATGATCAAAAGATAAAACATTATCTTCCATAATCTAATCCAAATAGAATGATCACCACAGGTGTTGATTCCCAAAAAACCAGTATTTCCCACTCATAGATGATGGTGAAACAATCCTACTACTCTCATAACTGTATCACTGCCAAGTTCATACCAGTTAGTGGATTGTGAGATTGTTTGGTACACCTCAAATGTTTGCCACAAACAAACCAGCAAGACCACAAAAATAAGAGTAGATCTAGTAACCACCCTTGAGATCATTAACAACATCATATGGGATGGGAGTTACAGTTTCCAATGTAGCACCCTCCACCAGGAAACCAGGTTTAGGACCCTCTGGCTGCCTCTTTGTGCTAATGACCTCACCCTTTGCCTTAGCCTCTGCCTTAAGTTGATCATTCTTCACCCTCCTGAGCTTGAATTCCTCAGTGCACGTTGAAGGCTGAACATGCTCCACTCTGACATGAATCCTCTTCCTGATAATCCTGTGACCCACCTAATATCCACAAACATTCAAATACCAAGTGCACAAATTTTCAACCCCCAGTATATGAAGCATGTAGACTACATGAAAAGTAAGGCACAAGGTTAAAACGATGAGGCAACAACTTCGGAAAAACCCCAGTTGCAAGAGTGAGTAAAGGCAAAAGACTAACAGGACCACACCCTGAAATGCTGCTGCAATACAACCAATCCAATCATAATGATTATGTAAAATTGTAATTCATCTTATTGACATATGAAATTTAAGCTTATCCCCAATAGTGAATTTAGATTTTTTTTTTGGCAACAAAGCGGCCCCAACATGTCATGAACACTAAAAGGAATGCTATACTAACGCTCTAAGGCAGGCTAATTTGTTCATGTTACCACATCATATAAGCAAGCCCATCTAACTCTAAAATGGCAGACAAAACATGTCAGAATCGAATTTCAAACAGAACGCTACAAGCTACGAAACAAACCCAATCGGATTACCAGAAGCAGAATCTATATACTCTTTTCAATACAACATACCACATGTCAATAATTAACATCCGAAAACATGAGACCAAACACAGATTCACAGCAAGACAGAAAATAAACCAAAGCCCAAATACAAATTAAAACAATATATCAAGAAAATGAAACAAAAAACCCAGAAATAAAGGGGGGAAAAAGCCCATTTTAATTATACCTGCTTGTTGACTTCAACGCCGATGGCGCGCTTGGTGACGTTCCAGACTCGACCGGTGCGGCCATGGTAGAACTTGTGGGGCATACCCTTGTGAACGGCGCCGTTTACCTTGATGTCGACATAGTCACCGGTCTTGTAAGTCCTGAGGTAAGTCGATAGGGGAATGTAACCCTTCTTTCTGAAGGGTCTGGCGAATAGATCCCTTGTTCGTGCGCGGAGACCGTGACCGGCTGGCATTCTTCACTCTCTCAGGTTTTCTCTTTCCCTCCACGAGCAAAACCCTAATCCTTTTATCATATAGTTGCTTTTGGTTTTACGGTTTTTTCGGGTTTTGGGTTTGGGCTTTGGATCTTTTTTGGGTCTTCCCTGTTATTTTTAGTTTTTTTTTTTAATGATTATTATCGGTTACAGCCTAGAGGACAAACGAACCCGTCTAATTTTTGGACCGGTTTAGGCTTTGGGTCGGGCCAAACAAGGCCCGGTTCAAACACATTTATAAATATTTTGTATTACTAATGTTATTTTTTTTAAAAGTTCACATAAACCTGTAAACTTTTATTACGTTTAATTAAATTTTTATATTTTTATTTTAAATTAAATAAGTTTATTTTTATTTTAAATCACATAAGTCTTATAATTAATTATTAACTTAATTAAAATACTATTTATCATTTTATGTCATATGATACTAACGTAATATATTAACATATTGTAATTAATGATGATGTGATATATTAATTTAGTATAATAACATAATCATATGATTTTTTTATTCTACATGATATTAACATGATATTAATATTTCATAATTATCAATAATGTAATATATTCACATATCAATGATGACGTGATATATTAATTTAACAAAATAATATAATCATATAATATTTTTTATTTTTTGAATAAAATAACTAATGATATTTTGATTAATGACAAATAATCTACCATTAGTTAAAAAAACTTATTTGATCAAAAATAAAAAATTAAATAATTTGATTAAACGTAATAAAAACTAATTTTTTTGTAAATTTTTTTAAATAGTTCAAAATTTTATTTGAACATTATCATGCCAATAATGTTTCATAACAGGGAGAATTAGGTGAGTATTGAAATCAAAATTCAAGAGCAGACGTGTAACCTTCTTAACATGATGCCCCATGGATCAGTGTGATGTGCACACCACGAAGCTTGCTTTGTTACAAAGAAAATTGCTATTAAGACGTGAATTTTAACGAGAAAATTTCCATTGAAGAACATAGGCGCAAATAGTGATTTTGCAAATTAAATCTAAAGCATTTCAAAGGGAGCAGAATGCTGTTAAGAAATTAAGAAATGGGGGACAGCCCATCACAGCTTAATAAAGACCCCCAAAGAAGAGTATATCACATGTTAACTGCCCAAAAACAAGCAATTTCTAGTCCTGGCTACTTCCAAAGCCATCACGGTTCTCATGCTGCCACCCAAAACCTTGTCCATCACGACCCATATCACTGGAGTGGAACTTGCCTCGTTTAAGTTGTGGCATATGATGTGGAAGTGGTGGAGGTGGTGGTGGAACTTGCATGGGCTGTGGTGCCAGTATACCTTTGCCATCCCTAGGGTCCATGGAATTACTACCCTGCATTGCTTCCATCCCTTTGTTGGCTGACTGCGGGGGAGGAATCATTGGTAAACCTCCTGGATTTCGCCCATAATCACCTTGATAATTGGCAAAAGCATCGCCCATCATGTGGCCACCTGGCGGGGCTTCAAATGGTGCCCCAGGGTGCCCGCCATTCCAGGGCTGAGGATAACCTGTTGGGTAATTTATGCCCCCAACTGGGCCTGGTGGGAAACCCAATAATGACCCCTGCTCAGAACCAACATCTGGTGCTGAACTCGGCCGAGCCATCTCATAGGGAGCACCATAAAATGGTTGAGCTCCATCAGCTGGAAATGGAGGAACACCATATGGAGCCAACATAGGGTTTGAATTCATTGGCATAACAAAATTAGGTGGTTGCATGGAATGCATTGGCGGGTATTCAGAAAACTGGTTTTCAGCTAATACTCCCTGCTGCTTGTCTGAAAACTGGCTAGATTCTGGTTGCGGGGTGCCCTGCCTGTCAAAGCCTTGTTGGAAGTGGTTGTGAGGGCCAGGCCTGTCAAAGCCAGGGGGAAGGTTATTGTCTGGTTGGGACTCTGATGGAAGATTCTGAACTTGACCAAATACCGGTGCCCCCTTTGGCTGCATCATTGGCCTTGGAGGCAGTTGTTCTCTAGACTGCTGCCGACGAGCTTTGTCTTCAGTATCATAGGGTTGAGGATTTGAACCAGGAGAAATGACAGGCCTTGGAGGACCTCGAACGGTAGTATCTGAACCTGTAGGTTGTTTAGCACTCAGAACCTCTGATTCTTTACCATCTTCCTTCTCTGCATTAGGCTGCAAAAGATCAGCATGGCTCTCATGGATATGAGATTCAAATTCAATCTTCTTCAGAAAAGACTTAAGACAATGAGGGGCTGCACAGATGAGGATCCCCTCCATCATCTTGATTGTCTGAATCTTCTGTATACGCTCATCACAACTGCACAAAAACATAACAAGCATTATTTTTGTCAATGTCAAGTTACTTGTGTTTAAACTGAATCAAGATTAGTTCATGAATCAGCCAAAATCTGACTTCCGCAAGAAAACAAACAATCACAAGAGTATAAGGAAACAAACATCTTAATGATTTGCTCCGAGTAAAAACCCTTAAATCCCACGATTCTTCAGCACAACCACTTTGCATTAAAGAATCATGAAATGATCACTTACAGATAGCAAATTGAATCACTCCTTGCACAATCCAGGCAGAAGGCATGCTCACAAGGACTCTGCAACCAGGAAAAACACACACAGACATATTCAAAAACAGAACCAAATACCAATAATATATATATATATATATATATATATATATATATATATATATATATCCTACCAATAATTATTGCAACCCTTAGCCAACAATCAAAACCTCCTTACCAATTGAATCGTTTAACTTTAGAGCGAATCCAACTGATATCTTTAACATCACAAAATTTCAAATATTTTGGCATAACTTATCTATTAATTACTTACTCTACTCTTTCACAAATTAATTAACTTTAATTCAAAGATAAATAAAAGAAGCAGTAACGGTTACTAAGACGTACCAAGCGGCCGTAGATCGCTATTGGAAAATCGCAGCGAACGCAGAAGTGGACTCGCTCGCCGAGCTGGCGACGGGACCTACGACCGACGGTCTTAACGAGCGAGGAGGACGTAGCGGCACCAATGCTCTTGGCAACGGGAAGGTCTGCGAGAACGAGGTGGTCGGGGCACGCCACCGTTACCGTCTCCACTGGCAAGGGCTTCACGGAGCCGCCGGCGTCGGCGGACGGGCCCTTGCTTAGTCGGATTTGAAGCATCTTTGTCCCCACTAAATCGGCCCTTCCGACGAAATCAAAAACGGATGGAAAAGCTTTCGACTTTCGATTGATCGAATTTGATAAATTGCGGTTTCAAGTCGGGTCGGGCTGATACCTTGGGCTTTCTGGATTAAGGCCTGTCTTCCTTCATTGGGCTGTTCAACCTTTTTTTTGAACCCGTTTACAATTAAAATAAAAGACACGAAAAATTCACAATCCAAATAGTATGAGTACCAGTTTTACAAATTAAAAAAATTTATGTGAAATTTGTTTTTTTTAAGTATTCAATAAAAAGTGAAATCTAGCTTTCCAGGCGGCCAGATCCGGCCATGTTTGGCGGTGAAGGTTTAAAGGAGAGAAAGGAGGAAATAAAAAAAAGACTTTTGGTTTGATTTAGTATTTATATGATAATAATTTCATGAGACAATTAAGATTTTTTTTTGTCTAAAAAGACTTTTAACCTATTCCCCTCTGTGTGGAATAATTAGTACGAGGTAGGGTTCGAACGACCATTCTTTGATAAAAAATATGAACTAAATATTAAAATTATCATTCATCGAGAATAGTGTCAAAATTGAATGATCATTTCAATGAACCAAACATGCCCTCGCTCCTAAGAACTAATGATTAGTAAGAATCTAGCATGTTTTTTTTTTTTTTGAACATGAAGAATCTAACATGTTAAACCCATCTTTTTCTCATATGAAGAAATTTGGTACCATATTATTGTCATAACCTCAAATGATAAGAAGCAATTATGTTAGACCAGCTAACCCTTTCGTTTTCCCTTAATAAAATGACCAAGGAAATGCTTAGGTCCAATGGAGGAAAAATATGATTGACAAAAAGTTTGTGATTAGCTTTGTTATGTCTTAAGAGTATTGCCTTCTTGGTGTTAAGGTCCAAATGTTGACCCAATAATCCAAAGGCATATGTAAAAACTCAGCTCAAAAAGCAACTAAGGCAAAGAAATTGTGATTGGGAATTTCAATATATCAATGGGATGACAAATGATAATGCAGTCCTAAGAATGACCATAAAAATTATTGGAAAGTTTCTGAGTTCTGTGAAACTTCATAAGATTCCCCTGGAAGAACTCGTCTCGATTAGCAAAATGACATAAATATTTAGGGGAATTAGACAAATTTCTATTATTCTCTGTAAAACTTCAATGGCAGTCCCACTGGCAATCCTAGCTCTGTGGGATGGATCGTCTCTTTTAAGCTCAGGATGATTCTAGATTTCGGACAAATTTCTTAGCCTGTCAAGGAGTGAAGAAAGAAATATTTTAGATAAGCAAGCCAGCCATGAGTAAATAAAGCTGCATTTATAAACAGTCTAGCAGATTAGCAGTCCTTGTTCTATAATCGGTTTGTTAAGGTCAAGAATGAAAAGACAACTCATGTACAAAGAGAAAAATTATCCAAAGGCTGAGACAAGAAAATTCTCAAATCTCACTGCCAACTGGCTGCTAAATGAACCTCCCATGAGGGATGGGAGGTTCAGTTGAGAAAATGAAAAACGCTAGCCCTACAAATAGGGAAAGCAAATACCAAAGAGAGGTGGAAAAAAAATGTTTGCAACTTCACCTGTTCTAATGTCAAAAACATGATCACATTCCAAGATCCTAGCCGTCCAAAATTGGGGATGAAACCCTTATAAAAAGCCAAAGGCCCCTGCAAATGATAATGAATGCTGTAAGTAAAATGCTTGTCCATTTTAGACTCTCACCTGCAGCCAATAGCTTCTTAAGTAGCAACAAACGTTTTAGCATACAAGCATAGAAAGGAATGTAACATTTTTTTTCCATGTTTTCTGTTGTATAAATAAATCATGTAACTAGTGAATCAGAATGAGTTATAACTCATAAAAAACAGGAAGGTGAACAGCTTAAGTACGTGAAGCTTTGATGCTTAGAGGATAAAAGAGAAAAACTAAAGGAACCATCTAGCAGTTAAAGACATAAAATAATCAATTTCCATGAATAATTATTCCTATAACTCATTAGAATGCTGAGTCTAGGGCATAGTTATGACAGGATAATAGCAAAAGGAGAAACAAGATCAAAGAAAGCAAACATACATCATTTTTCAAAGTTTTGATGAAACAATCAAGTGTGTTCTTGTAAGTTGAATCTCCCATCATTCTTGACTTAACCTGCAGGGGGAAAAAGGGTAGAACCCATCAAATTTGCTTGATATTACAGCAATTGCAAAAGATAGGATAATAGCACATTCAACCAGATGATAAAGCAAATGGGACGCAAATGCATTGCACTGACTAGGTGAAATGACAAACAAACCTTAATTCCAAAATGCTCTCACCTCGGCAGACATCACAAGTATAACTTCAACTAGGATTACTTAATAGTTACAAGATGGCAACAACAGATTAAAAGCTCCTCATGATAGAGTCTGAGCAAATTTGACAGAAATAAATAATGCTAAACATACTTAGTTGGCACAGACAAAGTGAACGGAATCCTCTAACCATGTGCATTCTACATGGTCCCATCTTCATACAATAGCATACCAATTTCATTATGACCAGCGGACAACAGAAGATATACCACCCAAAAATTGGAGAAAAGAGTCAAAATGAGAACTTTGATGGCATACCACATCAACGGGAGAACCAATACAGACGGCAAAAAATCCTGCCCCCAGACCAGCGAAGAGATGAGTGACAACATTATCAGTGAATCCAGGGATTTTCAAAATCGTCTGCATTGAAAGATAGACATTAGAAAACACCAAAAGCAGTACTTTTCAAACAGAAGGTGCAATACCCATGAGCTTTTGTTATTACTTTACCTGCTTTACTTGATCATAGCTTGCAAGTTCAGCAGCATTTATAATAGCATTTCGTGCTATATTGGGTCCAAGCCCAGTCCAAAGAGCCACAACTCCATCCTAAAGTTGGAAAATCAAGATACAAACTGAAGAGTCAAAAGCTAGTAACAACCTGGAAAAGTATCTCTTTCTTCCCAGATTAGATATTAACCTGTCTAGCAATAGTGGAGTAAGCATTAAGTGCACCAGAATAGCGCCTAGGTACACCAGGGGGTAATCTCCCCTCAGCCTGAAGTCTAACTTTCACAAGATCAGTTGGATTTGCCACTGTAATTCCTAGAGCACCTGTTCAAAAAAACCAACTTAGGTAGAGCACCTATCATGGATAAACTTGCCGGAAATAACAAGTAATCCCAGCCATATCCTCCATATTCCTCACCAGTCGTAAGGGCAGCAAGTATTTTCTTTGTCAAAGGAACATCTCCGACATGGTCTTTTCCCACATAAAAATTCCTAACCTGTCACAATTTACAAGATAATTTGTGATCATATCAACAAGAAACCAAAAACAAATAAAATACACAATACAATTTATGTGAGAAGAAGATTCAACACCCACAGGCTCATACATCCCAATTCTCAAGCCACCAAAAAGACACTGACGATGTAATCCGGGTATAACACCTTTCCAGAGTGCTGCCAAACCTTCTTCCCTAGCAATAGTACCAACTGTACCTAACAAGCCCCTGTATTTTGGTAAAGTTGCAGCATCTCCACCAACAGCTTTCTTCTGAAGCTGGAGCCTAACTTTAGCTGTGTCCAAAGGAATGGTACATATCTGCAATGAATTCAAGTTGACTTCATATTAAAGCAACAATATTTCTTCTAACAATTCGAATCACGAGAAGCTTTCTCAATCCAACTTGGAAAACAATTTCATAAATTTTTTGAAGTTCATAATCTATAAAGTCAAACATTATATGTATCAAATCAAAAAAAAAATAAATCAAATTAAGCGGTTGACGATGCCTAGGAATTAACCAAATTGCTGAATTTGAAACTTAACATGACAGATTTGTTTCAAAAAAATGTGAACTTCAGTTCATACTATCAAATCTTTGTACTGACAAACACACACACGCACAAAAAACCGTATCTTGCATACAAATTTACAATAAAATCTTCAAACAAACTACTATTTCTTTTTTGTGTTTGTTTGTTTCTACATTTCAAGTCACCGCAAGAGAACCGAAAACAACGAAAGCGAAGAACAAGATGCAAATATCTGAAGACCGAGAATACAAAATCGTGAACAAAACGACGAAGCAGCACAACAACGAGAAAAAAGAATATGAGTGAGTTAGTGAATTTTCTGATACCTCAGCGAAGCAAGCAGCGAAGGCACTGCTGGCGAAGGTTCCGGCGAAGGAGATATCGGATTTTCCCTTTTGATCAGCCACCATTTTCAAGAAACAATTCTCTCTCAGAATAAACGCGAAGGATGTTAACAGAGGAATCGAAAATCAATCAGATTAACACTAAGAGAGACAGAAGATAGGGAAGGAAAAAAGGAATCTCGGGAAAAGTGATGACGAGGCTTGCGCAATTTGGTCTGCTGCCTTTCTTCCCTCCTTCGTCACCTCGGCCTCGGCTCGCCAAATCCCTGTCAACTCTGAGTTCCTCTGCTTACGTTTGCAGTTACCGCAGTTCGAGAGTTTTGATTTTGAACCAATTACAGAATGACACGTAACTTCATGTGTTAAGTTAGTGAATTCCCGAGTATGGGCTCTTTTAAATAGATGTGCCGCGGCTGGTCAGAACGTGAAAAACCGGTTTAAGGATCTTAATTATGGGATTTAATTAAAGCGAGCTGTCTTATTTAGACTAATAAACATGTTTCTTTTGGCATGTTTACTTAATTTCACGTATTATCTTATTAATCTATCACCTTAAACAATCTTTATAATGATTCATAAGCAATATGTAAAAGAGGTTTAATTGACTTTATTCATTGACATATACAGACATTTTCAACAATAATAATTAAAGAATAAAAAGAAAAAAGTCTTTTAAACAGTTATAACTGCTTAAGAACTATAATTGTTCGAATAATTATATTAAAAAATAAATAATTATGTTTATTAAAAAAAATTAACAATTGTACTTGTTAAAAATAAACGTTGTAATTGTGATAGTTACATTTATCATTATTTTAAAAATATATTTAATTATAAAAATGAATAACTAATTTATTTATTAAAAATGGTGAATGATTTTATGGTGAATGGATACTTTTAAAAAGTGAATGAATATTTTATTTATTAAATAAATATTTTTATCCATTAAAAGTGATGAATATTTTTATGTATCAAAAGTGAATGAATACTTTTATCCACTAGAAGCAGATAAATTTATTTGGAAGAATACTTTTTAGTTTTATGAAAAAAAGGCAAAAGATAACCAATTTGTAATCATTCTCTTCACTTTCTTCAAATTCTTCTTAAATTGCTTTTATTGTGTTTTACTATATAAAAACTTTACATGAATTTGATAATCTTATCATAACGAGTGAATACTTAATGGATTAATTTCATCAATACGAAATACAATTAATCGTTAAGTTTCATCATATCCTCGAAGTTTATCATTAATAACCTTTTTGCATATTATCATTGGAGTCAAATAAAATTGATAATGACATTAATACACACCTTGAAGTTATTGCTTGATTTTCAAATTTTGTATTTCAACATATAAATTAATGGATGCAAATAGAAACAATCATTTGAAATCAATTAAATTCAATTAATTTAGTTTGATTTTTCAATTTTGATTATTTCAATCAATTTTCAATGTCTAAAATTTATAATTGAATTGATGAAATAACCAATCAGTAATAATATGCATTTTAAGTATATTATATATATAAATTAAAATAAATCAATTTAATTTTTTTATATTTCAATTGATTTCAGTTATACTTTTAAAAAATCAATTAATTCAAGTTTTAAAATTTTAAAATCAAATCAATCCAGTACTCACACATATTCCTAACAATGTAAGCTTCCCATATGGTGTAAAACTGTCACCTCTTTTCTCTATTTTCTCTTGCAGAGGGCAAACCTCTTCCTATATAAGTTAAGAGGGCCCTCAACCTCCTATAAAAAAAAAAGAAAGAAAAGCTGGTCAACTTGGTCGTGGATGTCGTGCTCCCCCATTTTGGCCAATTTGGATGGAATCACCCATCATTTTGACCTGGCCACCCAATCTAGAAGTGGTGATTTTTGTCAAGAAATATGCTCTGTGATTGGCATGGCAGCCGGTAAAGGAACTAAAGGGCACTGGCTCGTTGTAAAGCCTGGAAGAATATGGTTTTCCACATGGACCACTTGCTGCAATTGTTAGCCCATCAGGCTGGCTGGTGGTAGGAGGTTCCATTTCCATGGTGGAAAGGATGGAACCTGAGTCTCTTTTTTATGTTAGTAAAAGCAAAAGCACTAGCCAATGTCACAGTCTTGTCAAAGCTCTCCCAAGTAATTTACTAGGACAAAGAGAGAGCTGGATTGCAGTACCCTAGTGGAGGGTACAAGCAACTGCTATTGGATTGACAGAATATGCCTTATGTTTCACAAAACTGAACAAGTTTAATGACTTAAGAAAAAGAAACAGCAAATCAAACTGAAAGAAAGAAAGGAACTGTACCCAAAATTCTTCAGAAAAGGAACCAATGAAGAAATATTTCTATGAATTTATACCTGTGCTCAACTCATACAAAAGTTTTAACAAAGGAACAGAAGACTTATTTGAGCCAGCTCCAACTGTAGCATGCAAAGTTAAAAATGAAGAGGAAATCAATCCAGGAAAATTGGAACTACAGCTTGAAACAGCTAATTCTTCTCTTTTCAGTTTCTAGACAAACAGATGATTGGCAGAATCTGTGGTATAAGCATCAGGCCCCTGCCGAAACAATAGCTGAACAGTTTGTTGATAATGCTAACAGGACGGTCATTTGTTTCCCTTCTTGGATTCACTGTATAGAACAACTCCAAAAACAGTTAGGGAGTAGCCCAGCATCCCAAATAAGGAAACAGGGTTCCTGAATATCAGAATAGAGACCACCACAGCAACAGCACCTTTTGCATTGCCGAGAACCTGAAATTAACATAATCATTGAAACCTTACCCTGACATGCAAAAAGAAAAAAGTTTTTTTTAAAGGAAATCTGAATCCATATCCCTAACTTCTCTCAGTGAGTACCTGGAGAGTCAAGGCACTTGTGTGTTTAGTGACCAAAAAGTTGGTCAAGTTCACAAGATATGCAAGAGAAGAGTTGAAAAACAGGTAGTAAACTATTTTGATATCTTTTCTGGCAAGAGCTACAGTCATGGGAACCACATTTCTCTCCATCAGCAAAGTGGCAGGAAGCAATATGACTACTGCTATTGGTGCCATGTACATCAGCAAATTCATTGAGTTGAGCTTTTCCCTGTAAAGAAATTACAATCATTTAGGAAACATATTTCCATAATCCTCTGATTGCTTTGACTTCTGATGAAAAATTTTGCAATTGAATCGAGAGAAGAAAAGCTTACTCCTCTGATGACAGCAAAATAGCCTGAAGCACTGACTTAAACGCCCTTGCAGCAGTAGCTGAAACACACATTAGAAATCCGAAAAGGTGGAAACTTGGTTCAGCCTGCAGCAGACAAACACATATACGTCAAAATGTATTGACAAATTATGATACATTCTCTAGTCAAACAGAAACCAATATCAAAGAATCTAGTATCTTAAGCAAAGAAGTTCGAGATATACTATAAAAATGTAGTAAAACTAGGAAATTGTTACCCCACTAGCAATGATGACTCCTGCAACCACAGGTATGAGCGTCAGGTATGTAGCCCAACTCTCCATCTTCTTGCTCATCACATATGCGAAAACTGCTGTAAAAAATGGGGTCGTGGCACCAATGGCCTGGTTAAACGACACCGGAAGGTACCGTAACGAGACGTTTCCAAGAACCACGGAAAAGCAGAAAACCAAGCTCAACCCCGTGATGTTCAAAAACTGTTTCCTGGAACCAATGCTTTGCATGGGAACCACCTTGATCCATGCTATGGCTACGTAGCTTAGCAACGAGCAGGCAAGCATGTGGCACATGGTCAAGAAAATTGGGTACTTGAAGCCGTAGTTGCTGAGCAAGTACTTGTTTAGAAGAAGAACGCCAATGTTTGAACTGTACCATGAGATCACGATCCAGATCGTGGTCCATGGAATCACGGTCTTCATAGCTAATGGCTTCAAGGGTTTTTCTTCTTGTCTTTTCTTTTGAGGATTGGAATGCTAGCGCGGCCCGAGCTCTAGAGCCAGAAGAAAGAGGAGACGTAGCGGTATGAAATGAAGAAGAGCGCAAGGATTAAGAGCCGTGACACTTGACATGGATATTACTACAGGGCATTTTTCGTGGGACCTACTCTCATGTCGGGTGCAGGGGGCCTACATCAGCTAATTTAATGGTTATCAAATGTTTGATTTCGCGGTTGCTGTCTAGTGATTATTGTAAAGCTGAATTCTGCTTCTTCAGCTGCTGTAAACGTGATACATTTTCTGAGCATGTACATGTCAAAGTTTTTCGGGTATTTTTCAAATTTGAAAACTGTCATGTTGGTAGCATTGATATAGCAGCACCCGTTCCACGCCCTCCCTGCAGGGGTTTCAACTTTGAAGGCAAATAAAAGCTGACATTTCCTACTACTTCTGGTCTTAGGAGGCCCCTGTCCTATGATAGCGACTTCGAGTACTTGGTTAATTTCCGAAATAACAGGCACCCGTCTCGTTCAGACGGTAGAGCGCAAGGCTCTTAACCTTGTGGTCGTGGGTTCGAGCCCCACGGTGGGCGTCAATATCCATATTCCCAAGCAAATTCCATATTCAAAACCATGATAAAACTGCATTACGGGGAATCTAGTAGCAACAAAGAAATACCTAGAATGCTGCATATTCCCAAGAATTTCTGTGCTACATTTCTGGCTGTGTGATATAAATATAACTGAACAGTTCTTTCATTTCCATTTCTGGCTGTGTGATGCAAAGCTGTAGTCTATGTCACAGTGTGCTTGTGCTGGAGAAATAACTACTTTCTGTATTCTTATAATAATTGAATCAGTTATATTCATGAATTTTATGATATTTTGGCTGGCTATTCCACTACGAAGGCACTTGAAAAACCTGTAAAATGGCGAACTGAGCCAAGGAGTGATTTCGAAGCACCAAAATGTCTTATCCTGTAAACACCAGAGACAACTGATTCTGGGATCCACCACTCTATGGTTGCATAACTCTGAGAACTTAGTTTTGCAGGCCTGGACCACTTGAACCGTAAGCAAAAATCATCATCGTCATATGCTGGGATCCATGTCCTCTGATCTTGAAGGTATTCAACCACTGCAAATGTGCCCTCAGTCATGAGGTCATTCCTAGGGCAAGCAGACCAGAAGGTGACTGAGACAATATCACCCTGCTTGAAGATGGTATTAAAAGGGACATCATCCTTAACATCCCCGAAATTCACAAGAGGAGGGGTTGCATCCAGGACAACTGGTAGTAGTAAGCTAATCTGCTTGTCAAGAAGATCTGGTGGTTGTGGACCTGGTTCAACAGATGCACCACTGATAAGAGCTGTTGCCAGTTTCCTGAACTCCTGCATATAGGCATTAAGCGTGTGTGGACCATACAAAGTGGAGGCTCCCTGACAAAAAAAAGAAGAAAACTCAAACAAGAATCTATAACAAAGATGCACCATCAACAAGAAGATCTACAAAGCACTGCCATCAAAATAATGGAAAATGAGAAATGGCATAATACTAACCTCATATCTCTGCACCTCATACTCCTCAAAGGTGGTAACATATTGGGAATAAGTATTTGTCAGCCCTGCAATGACAATATGGACATTGCTGTCAAATTGCCTATTGCTTCCAGAAGTAAGCACTGTCTTAACAGCATCTCGAAGGCGCCTGCCAGCCATGGTTGTGAATTCTGCAAGAAACGCTAACATTAGAAAAATAGTACAACATGCAGCAGGAAACAGCCCATTATTTAAGATAATTACGTGTAATTTGACAGGTATATTGTAGTTATGAACTAATTAAAAACACGAGGAAGATAAAACTCTCTCTTTAAAGCACGCAACACCATTTAAGCTTGGATAGTAAAAACAGAAGAAACCTTTAAAAGGAAAAAAAATACCAGAAAAAAAAAAATTGCTTCTACCTGCAGGTACACTGAGAATGACAAGTTGGCCTATCCGCAAAATTTGAACTGGAAGTATTGAGGGCTGCATGAATTGTTTTTATAAGAGCACAAACATTAATTCATATCTGTGGAAATGCTCTGCTGGTTAAAAATTTGCAAATTCTTGTCCCTAGGATTTAACCAAAAATACTTTTATCATTCATCTAAATACACTCATTTATCTTCATGAACAGCTTTGAAATCAAGGTTGCATCAAAATCAACCACCTTATGTAATAGGTAGAAACATTTCGTTACATGAGCAGATGTGCCAGATTAGTCCCAAATGTCTCATAAATATGATACAGAGCACTTTGTTTATCGTTTACCAGAAAGCAGATTGAGGCTCCACATGCTATACAAAGTGGAAAATTCAGGCATGAAAACAGAGTACAAATTCATTCAATGGTCCAAAGCTTTTTCACCGCATACATTAAGTCATTAACTGAAGTAATATTATTACTTACTGCCCAGTCATATGGTTGCTTCATTTCACCAGTATCAAGCAAAATAGGCTTAGGTTTCTGACAATTGATCTGTTCTTGATTTGGTGTTTTCAGCAAGTTCCTCACCAATCTCCAAAAGGCATTCCCCTGAAAGGAAACATAATAATAAGATCATTGCAAAAATTTAGCTATTCATCCTTCAAGAGCATTATGAAAATATGGGTTAAGTCAGCTGCGGAGCTTCCCTTACTTTATCATCTCCTTGTGTGAAATCAAAAGCTCCAGGCCCATCAGTTGTTCCTGCAGCAAAAGCAAATCCCATAGCAGCAGGACATGTTTTCACCACTGCACTCCCTCCTCCCATTTTAGGAACTGAGACCTCAAGGTTAGAGAAATCCAGATAGGCATGTTGATACCCAACCTTTCCTTTCAACTTTTCAGTTGCTTTGTTAAAAAGTTCCACGGCTTTTTTGAATTGCCTTTTCCCAATAATCTCAGTACTCTTAAATTCATCAGGGTAGCTGCCAGTAAACGTTAATATGGTTCCATAAGTATCCAACTTTTGAATAAACTAAAAGTACAAAGAAAAAAATGATAAACGGGGTAAAAGTGAATATGTAACAAGTATATAGTGTACCCTGGGCCCCGGCCATAGCACAGTTCATTCTTCCCATTGCAGGTGCTGTGATTGAAATCACAAGGCAGTCCAGTGTCTATGCAAAATGCACCGAGAGTATTTGGACTGACATCACCACAATTTGATTGACAGAATGCAGATACAAACTGGGGTCTATCTGCCTGCCTTAAGGCATTCCTGACCCGTCTTGCAACACTCAGAAATCTTGCAGCAGGCCGTCCTTGAGAAGATTTAAATGAAGCAGCAAGTTCTATCAGCTCATTACCTGTTTGGAATCAATTCCAGGTCCTATATGTTAGCAACAACAGTTTATATGCACCATTGTACTTGGCCCAGAACATTGAGCATGCAGAATTGCTATCCCTACTGCTGGTCGTTCTCAAACAATTTACCTGGTTCTGGATGGAAGTTAGGTAGACACATATATCAGGCCAACCAATGTTACGTTTCAAAAGAAGAAACTAACTCTGAACTTGCACGTGGAATATGGTCTTATTATGAAAATCTGTTAGAAGTTCAATCCAGAAAACAATTTTCCATTATCATGTTTGCAAATTTGACTTAATGCCTGTTGCCTTCCTCGTAAGCATAATGACACATTATAGAAGAAGGATAATTGCCAACTTGAACCAGCTTCCTACATTTAATATGTATAATAATTCTTTGAAAAACTGAAAAGCAGGGATTTAGTTACGTTTATCATGAAGGTTAGGGACAAGGCTTGAAACTCTACGAGGGATTCCATCAGTTGCAGAGTTATTGAAAGGCCAGCTACGAAAATCTGTCATAAAACCAGTCTGTTCAAACCAATCTTCCATAAATCGTGCTGCAGCACCCTTGTTGTCACCACTGATCAATGAGTTTGTACGACTCATAGACGTTCCATGGGTTGCAAACCAGTTGAAGCTCCCTATGGGACCCCACTCTTCATCAACAAACTTTATCAGTGTCATTTCTTTATCAACATTATACTTATATTTACTCTGTTCATCTGCTGGATTATTCAGATAAGAGCTTGGACTACGATTTATACCAGCATCCAAGAGTTCCCCTGTATCACCATGATTAAGTGTCAACATATGCAACTTTTAAATGGGAATAACATATTGCATGCTGTTTGAACATAAATAGCACAGCAAAATACCCCTTGAATGAAAATTAGATCACAATCTGTTCAGGTTTCAGCTGTTGGGTTTAAACCTTTAGCCCCAAAATCTTACTTTTTCAAGAAAACTCATTAAGCCTTAGGAACAAGCCAAGTGCATCAACAGATACAAATATATGCAATACGCTGCCACTGAACAGATATTGTGAGCCTAAACATTTATATCAGCATAAAAGAAAGTAAATATGCAATGATTATGAGCAAACTTTCTCACCTTTATTTATCAAAATAGAACTCGGACGGAGATTTTCATGAGCTTGTATAATGCTTTTCTCAATCCCATCAACAATGACATCAAAGGACTGTCTTACAAATCCAAGAGAAGTTACAATATATACAACATATTGGAGGTAGCCCCCAGGGCCAGCATGCGTATGAATGCCACTAATGGCAACATTCTTCTCTGTGTAAAGCTCACCATACCTGAAACAAGGAAAGTATTATCATAGCAAAATATGCTAACATCCTGCAAAATCCTAAAAGGTACTTGCATAATTTGTTCAAATTTCTACAAAAAAATTCATGAACAGCACCAAAATTGGCTGTACCTTGCTTTTAATCTCTCAAGTACTTTAATTGTAACAATTTGTGAGGCCATACAGGCATCGAGATTCACAAATACTACACGGTTCCCATGAGGTTCAGCCACGATAAAGGCCCGAGCACGTAATCTAAAATGAATTCCTGATGCAATTTGTTCTGTATTTGCATATCCCATCATATTAACATCAGCAGCAGGCCCCGTTATGTCATAGCTTCCAAGGCCAACCAAATAGTTGGAAGCTGATAAAGATCCTTCGATTTGCAGTAATAGAAACAACAAGAAAGAGAACCAAATAACCATAGATGAACTCCCCATACAGCAACAATCTTTAGAAACCATCTTCATAGCTTTATTTCATTCTTCACTGAAGGAAACGTACAATACTGTAAGCTGTATATTTCAACCTTATACAATTAAGGGTCCCAATTAGAACTTACCTCAGTTGAAATAATCAAAATTTTCAATCCAAAATATGAAATCTGGCAAAGATAAAGAAAGAAACAGGAACAAAAGGGAAATGGGTACCTGCAGGCTGCTAGCAGTGTTTGACCTACAGAAGAAGAAATGAACAGGGAACGAAAAACAAGTTGAAAGTGAAGTTGCTATGTGGAAATAAGTTTTAGCTGATATACATATAGCGAAGTAGAAGAAGAGTGATGATGAAACAAGCACTTCAATCTTCTTTGGTGTGGGGTCAAGCTGAAAAGACAGCACCAGGATAATTGGAACATTTGCAAAAGCTTTGAACGTTGTACCTTATCGTGTTGGTAAAGCAAATAAAACACAAACTAAGCACCTTGTTTGAGCGAGACTTCTTTTCGGGCCAGCAATTCAGAGCCGTTAATTGCTGAAAGGTACCGTTTTAAAAGGGCTCGCAACTTACCTGTCTGGGCCTTAAATCGAGTCGTCTCTGCTGTAAAACGGCAGTACTCTTTGGCGTCATGAATTAACAAATCAAAGAATCCCACAATGCCCTTCTGAAATGATCAAACTTCAGGATTCCATCTCAAAACTGATGTTCAATCACATATGATTACTTTTTTATTGCTCCAACAGATAAAACTGATATTGGTTTTAATTGCGTTGATGGGTATGCTCTCGTGGTTAACCTTATGATTGTTAAGAAGGGGTGGTGCGGCCGCCACTATCAAACAGATGGAAGAATTCTTGCTTTGGTGAAAGTGTGAAAACATGGAAGTGCGTCTGCTAATTGGGTTGGGTTCGGTTCGTAGAGCTCGTGAAGTGGCCTGCCCCAACACTAAATGCAGCATTAACCCCTTTCCAACCACCTTAGCCGCCAACTTTCACTCTGCAATTGGTCAGATATAAGTAGCAAACCACTGCTCCCCATTACTCCCACACTGTCGTCATTCCTTGTGTTAATACAAACTTTCCCATTTTAAATCGTGGCAAACTTTAAGGGTCACTGGGGGAAAAACCTTTTTTCCTTTTCAGGATGATATCAAAACCTTTAATTGGGCAAATATTGATCATAATTTGTGGTTATGGATTGAAACTAGGATCACATGATCTTACCTAAATTAGTGCCTTCCGATTCAATTAATATCTGCTATCTGCTAGTATCATTTTGCCAGCATTTCAATTCTTATCAAAGTGAAGAATAAACCCAATTTAGCAGCATGAAGTCTTTTTGTTCAAAGCAAGAGATCATAGACCCTCATGTTTAGCCTATACAACAGCATCTGCATATGATATACTTAGAAGGCTCTTTTATTATCCCTGTCATCATACGCTTACATGCAGCAGTCTAAAAGCCAAGATTTTCCATGCTGTTGTATATGTTATTCAAGCAACCGATGACTGCACGCTGCTAGCTTTGCCGTTCGCCAACAGGTCGTGCAACGGTTCCTTGGGGAAAGGTGGGGTTCGCCAACAAGTCGTGCAACGGTTCCTTGGGGAAAGGTGGGGGAACGAAAGGGAGTATCAACAAAATCACAACCAGCTTCTGCTAGAATTACGTTGTTACTTTCCTGGCCTATCAAAAAGTTTGATAGATATAGCGGGTTTTGCTTTAGATGCCATAGTTATAGAATGGAGAAGAATGCAAGAATTGCAACTATATATTGTGCCGCCCTATCAGGGCCATTACTGCTACAACAATTAAACCTTGGATGTATTTAAGCATGGTCACCAAGTCCAAGTCAAATTAACAGGTTTCGAAGTTTGTGCAAGATTATGGGCTAAAATCGAGATAATGACTTGGGGTAGGTAACCATGAGAAATGTAAATAAGAACCTGGAGAACATGAAAGGCCCTTTGCATCCTCGTTCCTGATAAGAGTTGGGCTGGTATCAGCCTTAAAACCAGTGCCGCTACTCACTGCACTTGTGCTCACGGCACAAGTTTAGCATTAGCAGTGTCGAAGCACAAATTTAGCAGGTATTAGAATTCCCCTCACGGCTTATCAAACATCAAAATTGCTACAGCTGCAACCATTCATTAGGTTTTTTGTCGATTTTTTTCCCTTATGCTTGACCTTTTGGTTAAGGGCTCGAACTTTCCTCGACAACAGCAATAATACACTCAAAGCACTCTTTCCAGATCAAAATTAAGACATTCATTTAATTGAATAGCTATAATAACAAGAAACTAATACCAAGAGCTCTGTAGCAACATATTCATGTTTCAAAAAATGGATTGTCATTCAAGAACCAGATATTGATAGTGGTACCAATAACAAAGATTCCAATATAAGAACTAATGATGATTCATTATCGTAAGGAATAAGGAAAGTTTCCAAAAAACACCATAGAAATAAAAGCAAGCTAGATAATATAGCTCTCAAATACAAAGCAGCAAAATTTAACTCTAAAATGAGATTCATTCCCGACTCAGCCTATTCGCATGCAATGCCTATCTAGCATCTACACCATCTCACTGCAAGGCCAAAAAAGTATATAAAATGAAGGGGAATAAAACATGAATTTTAATAGGAAAATGCACACCAGAAAAAGGTAAAATAAGCCAAACTCAAACAAAATGATTTCAATCCTAAAAATTCATCAAAGCAAAAGATAATGAGCTAATCAGATGCGAAGATCAAGAGGAAATACAAATTTTAACTTTAATTTTGCACAATTTTCCCATAACCAAACCAAAGCCCCTCTATCACTACT